TATGTATATATTTGTTTTTGTCAGTTAGCTTTCATTGCTTAACAAACCATGCCAAAATTTAGCATTTTAAAACACAATATTTTATTTAGATCAAAAATTTCTTGGTCAATCATTTGGGCTGTTTTCAGCTAGGTGGTTCTGCAGATATGGGCTAGATTCAGTTAATCTTTGCTGTGACCTACCCATGTCAGTGATTGGCTGTGGGGTTAGCTGGTGGCTGGTTAGCTGTCTGGTGGCTGAGTAGTTGTCTGCTGAGATGTGGTCTTATATCTTCCAGTAAACTAGCCTGAGCTCATTCATATTATGGCAATGTTCTGCACTCAACAAACCAGTAAGCCTCAATGCACAAGTGTTTTTCAAGATACTGCTTCTTGTATTACATTTGATAATATTGTATGGGCCAAAACAAGTCATTTGGCTATCCAGATTAAAAGGTGCAATGAAAGACTTTGTGTTTATGATGGAATGAATGGAAAAGAACAGAGAATTGTGGGTACTTTTACTATTCACCACAATGATATTTATTATCATGGTTTTTAAAAGATTGAGAGAATTTCTGTTTTATATCTATGTTAGGATCAGGGAGCTAGGAAAAAATTAAAAAGGATAAGTACATAGGATATGAGGAATAACTGATGAAATAAGATTTCTAAGGGGGCAAGAGCTGCTGTGATTCAGATTACACAAGGAGAATTCACCTTTTAAAAAGCGAAAGGTTTTTCATTCATCTTTCCTTAGAATGAGGGAAAGGGAATGAAGGTGATACGACCAAAATTCGCTTTCCTGGTAATCTCAGTTTTCCTTGGAGTAAAGAAATCTAGGCCATCTGTTGAGCATAATGGGAGAAACAGTAGGTTAAGGGTTTGTGGAGAACGTTGTTTTTGGAAAACTGTTCATCAGAACAGTAGAGGAAGCCAAGGTCCAAACAATAACAACAAAAAAGAAAACACAAATCAACTAACCAAAAAATGGAGAGGTGCAGGGCCGGGATGAGACTACAGACATTGAACCCGTGCTTTAACCAATCTACAGTGACTCACCCAGCCCATATGTGAATTGAGAAAGCCTCCCCTTCTGCAGGGAAATTCAGTACAGGGGAAACCAGACCCACTCGGCTGGGGCTGCTGCCCTTGTACAGATGCAGTTTGAAAAACAGGTGTCGTGGTCCTGCCAATTAACAACTGGTATCAATTTTCTTTTTCTTATAGCAACTTCTAGTAGACTAGGTCTAGAAACATAATGGCAGATGCTGGGATTGGTCTAAGAATAAAGGTTTGCCAAGTTGATTGGCAAGAGAGGATTGGCAAGAAACCACAATAGCTAGAATGCTGGCAATGCTGGCAAGAAGGTTGAGATTGAACAAAGTATTACTGAAACTTAAAAAATAGGGGATGAGGGGCATGAGACTGGATAGCAAGAGAGGGGCTTTGTCATGAAGGAAATATCTTTAGTTCATGGTAGACACAAAGAAAACAATGATGAGGTCTTGAGCATAGGTGATCAGATTTTAAAAGTTCAATCTGGTGATGGGTTAAATAGGGTGAACTAGAAGTAAGAACACCAGAAAAGATTATTTAATGTGTTCAGGTAAGAAAGGCTGAGAATGTGCCTTGTAGCATTACAAGCATTCATCAGAGAGAAGAGGACAAATCAATAATAGGTAAGTTTAGGAGGCCAAGCTGCCATAATATGACGATTGGTATGTGACGACAAGGGAGAATCTGGGGTTTCTGCCTCATGTAGCTGTACAGATTCAGGAGGAAGAGCACAGCTATATGTGATCCACATCTGGTGCTGTCAGAATCTCAGAAAGTATTCAGGATACTAGGTAGCAGATCAGTCACTTCAGTTTTTATTCAAATGCTTTGAAATATCATAGAAACATCAGGGAAAACTGAATATACACAGGAGCAGTTTATTTTAGATTTACAGGCAGTAAAAATACAAGGCAGTTCTACAATAGAGATTGGTTGTTAAAATAATTGATGGTCTCTATTATATAGGATCTGAGGGTGAATTTATGATTAGGATCATCTACTTACCTAATGATAGGAGCACATTGCATCTTCTGTTAGTGAGATTGTTGTGAATGTTTTCCAGAGTTCCAGATAGCCTTTCTAGGAGAAGAGAGTTTTGAAAATGACTTTTGAGAGAGTGTATGTCAAGGGGGGCTCAAGGAACCAGCATAATTCTGGGGATTGGAAAACATGGTCCTTGGTAGGTCTAGAGAGGTGTTTAAAGCAAAGAAATCAATAAAGATGAGGTAAGAAATAAATGGTAAAGAAGACCTAGAACAGCCTTGAGGGAGAAGGAGTTAGAGTATCAGTAACAAACCTTGAGAACAACATAGAGGGTTATGAATGGTAGAGGAAGAAGAGATGGAAATAATTTGTATTAAATAGATGCCAATAGGGAAATTTGGGATCACTAATAAAGGGATTTACAGGAAGAGGTAAAATGAAGGACTAATTCTGAGCTACTGACTGAGAATTTGACAGGTGCCCATTTTTTCTTTCTGCATACATATTTTCATGCCTTTACTTCCTCTTTTTAAAAATTTATTAATTAGGGAAACTCAAAAAAATCAATCTTTTTATTAAAAAATGAATCCTTCACTCCTGAGAATTTTAGAAAATATGGTGTCACATTTTTACATTAGTACAAATTAGGATAATATCGTGGTATATTTGCAAGTTAGAAATGAGTATGTTGCATATACTTATTAATATATTAAGTAAGAAAATATAATAAAAATTATGTGCAGATTAATATAAACATAGTAAACATCTTTAGACTTTTCAGAGCCTTTCTCTTAGAAGTTCCTCAAAAATCAATGTTTTAAATATGTTAGAAAGTATAATAAAATTCTGAAATACTTATATTGGGTAAAATATTAATTAATGTAGTAGAATGTTTGGTCATTAGAAGCCATAGTTTTGAGGAAGTTGGAGAGGTTAATCTTTTCCTCTGAATGAGACCCTAACGATTACAGCTCTGTGGTCTTAGCATAGTGATAATTTGGTGAATAATCAGGGTAAATAATTGAGTTTGTCATATACATTAAAGTTATTTGGAAACAGCAGAACTGAAAAGGTAATGAGAGTTTTGTGACTGCCATTATTAATTTACAGAATTCTTTACCAAACAGCTATTCTAGGCATAGTACAACATGCAAAGACACACTACACAGTCTAGAAATGTTTCTATATTCTTTTCAATAGGAGAGATCAATCATAGGAAGCAATTAGAGAAGACTTTTCATTTGTGGTTAAAAAAAAATCTGAATATACTATTTACCCTAAGAGAACAATTTCTTAAACATTAATTACATATTTAACTACAAATGATTGCATAACTCCAGATAAGACATTGTCATGCTTGTAGTGACAGAAACATTCAGCTGCCCAGCTAGCAGCGTTTGGATTTAAATATATCTCTAACCACATGAATCAGTTACATAAACATTGGCTAAGCAGAGTTGTTTCTAAGTAAAACTTACAAGAGTGAATTGCTAAGTTTTCTTCCTCCATTTGATTCAATTCTGCTTGACTTTCAATTCTATCTGATTTTCTCATATTCTGGGTCATGCTAAAATATTCAGGTATTATTTATGTAGCAAGAAATGTTTGTATTCTTCCATGTTGCAAAGATACATATAAATTTATGTATAAAAGAAAGGACTATTTTGGGTATGTTTACTTAGAAACTTGGAAGTTTGGGATGAGTTGTTTAAATTTGCCAGTTTTAAATTTTTTAGAGATTAAAAATATATGACATGAAAACCTCTGCATTAGGTCTGATGGAAATCTGAAAATGTTATAAGCAAAATCAATAAATATCTTTTACTTTATTTGTAAAGATTTTGCTAAGTTTGATTGTTATATTTATATACATTTTCCTGCTATGTGCTTAATGCAACATCTATATGTAAATCTTAATATTTATTGATATTTTAAATGATTGATATTCCCTAAATTCTTTATTAGACATGCATGTTTATATTTCTTTTATATATTGACATAATCAAATCAATGACTTTTAAGGGAAACCTCTGTTTAAAAGGTGATTTATAACTTCAGTACTTATCTTAAAGTACTAGATGATTTTTAAAATGGCACAAGGCTACCTACATCCAGTTGTTTCACAGGCTCTCCCTAGCTTCTCTTGTAAAATGACGAATTGTTCTTTATTTCCTCTTTATTTGGTTTCTTTATTTCCTCTTTATTTGGATTGGTGGGTTTCCTTGTTTCAAGTGGATTATATTTGTAAAATGTTCTGGCTTCTTTTGATACAAGAGAGCCTATTTCTTCCAGCATAACCCAAATCATTTGTTAAATATTCATTGTGTGTTCATGGTAAATATTCATTCTGGCAAATAATTAGGAAAAATAAGCTAAAACTTCCTGTCTAATTTGGGCTTTGCTTTCACTCCCTCAATTTATCATTCTGTGTTGATATTGGGTGTTTCATCTTTTGAATTCTAGGCACTTTTCCAAGTTCACAGCATGTAGGAGTTAAGTAGTAGAAACTCTTAGAATTTTAAACCCTTGAAGTGTGTTAAAATTTTTTTAAGGCTTGTAGTCGTTATTATAATATCATGCGTTATATTCTTAGAATAGAAGAAAATAGTTTTCCAAAGTGAAATTTGCAATTTATACTGATGGTGATTTAAATCTTTCCAAATCACACAATTCAAAATTAAGATAACTATTTTAGATGATGTCGATGAATTATCTTCCAACTATGCAATATAATTTTATATTGATTTCATTCTGTGGGATAAATGAGGTATAGGATGTAATACTTCACAGCTTATTTGTATCTTATTTCAAATTCAAAGCAAGGCCTCATTAGCAAAACAGAATTTCCTTCATTTTTATGGAGGTTTAAGTTGCCTCCTTTTGTGTAAATTGTTTGCATAATCGCACAAGTGACAAGAATATTTTGATCGTTTCAGAAATAATGTCCTATTTCAATCTGTCTATTTCTCTTTCCTCTAGTTAACTTCTTCTTCCACTACCTCTGAGCAGCTTGCCTGTAAACCACCTGCTTTCTCCTTTGTTTCTCCAACTAATCCGAACGCACCACCCGACCCAGTTAACCTCGAGGGAGCCTCTGTCCTAGAGGAGTTCCACACTAGGAGGCTGGATGTCGGTGGGGCCGTGGTGGAAGAATCAGCTACGTATTTTCAAACTACCGCTCACTCTACACCCTTTTCTGCATCGAAGGGCACCTCCTCGACGTTACTGTTTCCCCATTCCACTCAACTATCAGGTTCTAACTTACCCAGTTCAACTGCGGCAGATCCAAAGCCTGGACTGACCTCTGAAGTTCTCAAGAAGACAAGTTTAACCTCGCATGTCCTTAGTCGCGGAGAAAGTCCGAGAACCTCTTCTCCTCCATCGTCCTCCAGTGCTTCTCTGAAGTCGAATTCAGCCTTGTACATACCAGTCCGCATTGTCACGCATTCACTGTCTCCGAGCCCCAAACCATTTACCTCCTCTTTCCACGGCTCTTCTTCCACCATCTGCAGCCAAATGTCATCTAGTGGAAATCTTTCAAAGTCAGGGGTAAAATCCCCGGTGCCTTCCCGGCTTGCCCTTCTCACTGCCATTCTCAAGTCAAACCCTTCCCACCAAAGACCCTTTTCCCCTGCATCCTGTCCCACCTTCTCTCTCAACTCCCCGGCCTCTTCCTCGCTCACACTTGATCAAAAAACAAAGCACACCCCACCCACGCCTAAAAAATCTCTCTCAAGTTGTTCCCTGAGAGCCGGGTCTCCAGATCAAGGGGAATGCCAAGTTTCTGAGTTGACCCAGCAATCTTTTCACCTGCCTGTTTTCACCAAGTCTACCCCACGTTCTCAGGCGCCCTCCCTCTCTCCTACAAAACAGGCTAGTAGCAGCCTTGCTTCCATGAATGTAGAGAGAACACCATCACCTACTTTGAAGAACAATACCATGCTTTCCCTGCTACAAACCAGTGCATCCAGTTCTGTGGGTCTTCCTCCTGTTCCACCAAGCTCTTCTCTTTCCTCTTTGAAGAGTAAACAGGATGGTGACCTCAGGGGTCCAGAAAACCCCAGAAACATTCACACCTACCCTTCTACATTAGCCTCCTCTGCATTGTCTTCTCTATCTCCTCCTATTAATCAAAGAGCTACGTTCTCTTCTTCAGAGAAATGTTTCCATCCTTCCCCAGCTCTTTCAAGCCTGATAAACAGATCTAAAAGAGCATCATCCCAACTATCTGGCCAGGAGCTGAATCCTTCAGCTCTTCCTTCACTCCCTATCTCCAGTACTAGCTCTGCCTCTCTTCCCAACTTGAGGTCCTCCTCTCTCCCTCGTGCCAATCTGCCCACCCTGGTGCCCCAGCTCAGTCCCTCAGCTCTGCATCCACATTGTGGCAGTGGTACCCTGCCTTCAAGACTTGGGAAATCTGAAAGCAGCACCCCCAACCACAGGTCACCTGTTTCAACCCCATCACTTCCCATATCTCTAACAAGAACAGAGGAGCTGATTTCACCTTGTGCATTGTCCATGTCAACAGGCCCAGAAAATAAGAAATCAAAGGTATTTTTTGCATGTTGCATGGTGCATGCTTATTTTGAAACAGGGAAGAATCTTTTTTCCCCCCGAGGCAGAAATCAATAATTATAGTATTAATTGTGCCTCTACAAGAAGGAAGAAAAAGTGCAAGAGGGTACCAGGACTTGGTATATTTGAATGTGTAAATGAATTATAATCTGTATAGAATTATGTGTTTCAGTCAAATTATTTGATTTTGAGAATCCTCTTTCTCTGCCTAATGTCTTATATCTATGACTCCAAGAGTATTATTTTTCCTCAGGCATAATATGAGTTATACCATTGGCCCTAATGACAGAATTAAAAGAAAATAGTTGAGATTCAGGACTATGATATGTTTCTGATGATTTATTAACAGGGACCCTAGCATCCATCCAAATATCCTGTATTGATGGAATAGTAGACAGGATTAATATAAAATGGAATATTATCTTAGATCCAGGCCTGTGACATATTCAAGCCCATTCTCCTAGCAGAAGGCAACTCTACGCTAAGGCATGCTGGCTTCCCAACTATTCTCAAGTAATTCAGATTGTGGATCACCCACACCCAGAATTTGATAGCTGTTATATCAATAAAATAAAACAATTAAAGTGCCTGCATAAGAAGGGGTGGTGATTTTCAGCTCAGTACATTGAAATAATGTAGTTTTAGAGCTTTGAGCTTTGAAATACCATGGAGAGTGTGTTTCACTATCACTTTACAGATGATGAATGTCATGTTGAAGGGATAAAGTGACACTCATTATCTTGTAAATGATGTCACAATACAATTCAAGTCAAAAGCATACATTAAATACCTACTATGTACCACTACACTAGCTTTCTTTGGAGTGTGTGTGGTTTCTTTTAAAGGGAAGTAAGAGATTTTTTTTTTTTTGGTCTTAGAACAATTCAATTTTAATCAGTAGAAAAAACATACACAATTTGGAGAGGCTATATACAGTTATTAAATCTATAATACAGCTAGAAAACCAATATAAGGCAAAATTAAATGTGTAAGTCAGATTATAAATAATCATCAACTGAGTTCAATATAACAGGAGTAATGTGATGGAACATGGTTAGTAAGGGAAGTTATAAAAAAATGTCTGGCCTGTCGGAAATATTTAGGATTTAACTTAATGAAGAGGAAAGAAGTTGGCATTTCAGAAATGGAAAACAACCTGACCAAATATACAGAAGATGATCCCAGAAGGCTGTGTGTGGAGACATAAGACGATTGGCCTTATAATCTGATAGTAATAATAGCAGCAATATCAAATGCTTTCTGTGAGTCAGGAACTATGCTAGTATATAAAATAGTTGAAAAATTAATTAAAATGGATTACATCAGTTAAGTTTTATAACTATATGAAGTTGATAATACTATTTTCCCTATTTTGTACACCAAGAAACTGAAGTTCAGTGAATAATTGTCCAGGTCATGGGTCTGTTACGGAGCTGACATTTATATAATATTAAGTCTGTTGATTCTTGAAGCCATGTTCTTTTTTACCACGATTTATTGCTACAAAGAAATAACTCATGTTAGCGATTTAGCCTGACTTTATAATTCTCATGAAGAAAATCATTATTAAGGAATTATAACCAGAATTCCCAATTTATATAATTTTGGGTTCATTTACAAAATGTATTAGAGATTAAGTCCTTGCATTTTAAACATTCAAAGCAAATGAGATGGATACAATTTAACTTTTTCTGTGATTCTAAATTGAAAATCCTACTTATTTGAGGTAAATTAACCTGTTTATTATATTTTAAATACATATATGTGATTATAAAATGTATTTGTAGAGTATTTAAAACGAACTGATAATCTAACCGTTACTGTTTCCTGAGTGCATTAACTATCATTTTTTAAACCATGCTGCCATATACTTATTCTTTTTGTTTTGTGAAAAGTGATTTTACTCTAAAAACTTTTTCAAAGCATTTCTGTGTGTGTTTCATTGCACTTTATGCTTTCTCCTGTTTTGCATATAGTCAGAGAGTTGGAAGAGGGTGAGCCCCAAAGAGCTTTTGATACATTAAAGGCCTGTTTATTGAAGACCTATTGTTTTTGGGCTTTCTTCTTGCACCCAACATTGAAAAATTTTCAGAATTTGCTTTTTACTTTGTAAAACATTTCCAAGTAAAGAAAATTCAAAGAAATGCAAAGTAAATTTGATGAACAGGAAAATAAGAAGAATGATTATAATTTAACTACCAGTAAAAATATCAATCGATTTCTTTGAACAGAAAAATAAAGCTTCTTATCATGGGTAAAATTTATAATAACTTCTGCAAAAATAGAATAGAATGGACTATGAGACAGTGCTATTCTTTTTCATGTTTATTTCCTCCTTGCATCTTGCTATATTATCTCTTTAGGTAAAAATCAGAAAGTCGGCCTACTTTTTTTATTGCAATCTATTATTTTCAGAAATAGTATCTTGAGTATAAAAAACGTATTAAAATGGATGTGGAATAGATAAGTCTTACCCCGATCTCTTTTGATGTTTGACTAGTGTTTAAATTGGTAACATTATTTTATAGAATGATAGAAAGAAATAGACAAAAGCTGTGTGATGTCGAAGAATTTATATGCTTTCATGGGTTGTTTCTTGTCTTGCTCCTTCCAGTGTGGTGCTAAGCTGAGCACAGGGCTCTTTTTGAAATCAAAGAACTTTAGATTTAGGTCAGCTTTACTCACTCCCAGATTCTGAAATAATAGGAATTATAGAATACAGATGGCATCTAATTAAAACATGAATGCTTGAAGGATATTAGTTTGAAGTCTGGGCCCTACTGTCCTTTGATATTAAAATAAAATGGATCGACCATAGTCTGCTGAGCTAAATTCAGATATAAAGTGTGTTTGATATTTCTTTTTCATAGATAAAACCTTAAGGTTCTGAATCTGCTTGCATTTGTGTGATATAATCGCTGTGATATGTTAAATTTGGATGTAGTTTAAAATACTATTTCACATTATAATCATTGCTTTAGATAGGATGGGTCTGAATGCTGCTCAACCTGCCTTTTTTTTTTTTTTTTTTTTGAGACAGGTCCCACTGTGTTTGTTGCTCAGGCTGTAGTGTAGTGGTGTGGTCTTGGCTCACTGCAACCTCTGCCTCCTGGGTTCAAGTGATTCTCCTGCCTCAGCCTCCCAAGTAGCAGGAATTACAGGTGTGCGCCATTGCATCTGGCTAATTTTTATATTTTTAGTAGAGACAGGGTTTTACCATGTTGGCCAGGCTGGTCTTGAACTTTTGACCACAAGTGATCCACCTGCCTTGGCATCCCCAAGTGCTGAGATTACAGGTGTGAGCCACCATGCCTGGCCTACTTTTTGATCAACATCTATATTGCCTGAGACTTTTTTTTCCCTTGGAAAAGACTGGATATTACAAAATTCACCCAGAGTTGTGTCTGGGTCCCCAGTCTGTTTTGCCCTCATTTATGAAGTAGTTTAAATTTTTATCCTAGTGAATTATTATGGTGTTCCATGTGGAAATTGGGATAAGCATTATATCAAAGCCTCATAGAGTCTGCCACTTACTGAAGATAGTCTGAAGATTAGTTCCAATTATAAAGAGTCTCCATTGATGGGCCTGCCCTGGACTTAAAGCTATTTGGACACATAGCTTATTTAGGGATCAAGATGAGAGCTATTTTTATATTTCATAAAACTTTATAACTGGTATTTTATTCACAAAAGTCTCCTTCCTTTAAGACATCAAAACATTCCCAAATACATCACACTGAAAACTTAGTGGCAGCAGTCTGTATGTGACTTTCTCCATTTCTGCAGAACCACATGTAATTTGGAAAATGAGCAATATGGAATGTGTCTGCACGAGCTAAAATAGTTAATCTGGGTTCAAGCAAATCACTCATTCAATAAATATGTATTGATGACCTAAAAGGTGTGCTTTTCAAAGCTGTGAAGATATTGCAACAAATAAAATATGCAATGATGCCTGTTCAAAGACACTTTATATTCTTTGGTGGAAGAGAAACAATCAACCATAACCCCTCCAAATAAGTAAATTATCGTGTGTGTCAGAAGGTCATATGTGTCATGGAGAAATGGATAGCCCTGATTCTCAAGGGAAATAGAGAAGGGATGGTGTCACAAGTTACGTTGGGGTATTGGGATAGGTTTCTTTGAGAAGGTAATATCCAAGGAGGTGATACTCCTTAAGAGAGTATAGCGAGGAAAATGCTCTGAGGCCAGAGAGTGCTTGACAGGTACAAAGAACATATTCTGGGCTAGCAGTGAGGAACAGGTTGTTGAGGTTGTCAGAGAGGGATGTAGGTGGGAGTCGGATCCTGTAGGAGAGTCTTGTGGACCACTCTTTAGTCTTTGATTTTTACTTTAAGTGAGACGGGAAGTCTTTGGAGGGTTTCAAATAGATAAGTGACAGTCTTAACTATCTCACTGCTAAATAAGAATAGACCATGAGAGGGTGAAAGTTTAAGTTGGGAGAACTTAGAAGTCTATTGCTACAATCTAGGTGAGTGACGATGGTGGCTATGCTCAAGTTATAGCAGTGGAGGTGACGATAAGATTTCCATTATGTTTGGTAGGTAGAGTAACAAACATTCACCAAACATCAGAGCCACTATGTGAAATGAAAAAAAAATCAGCTGAAACTAGACTTATGTGCCTTCTTATTTTGTTTTTCTCTTTTTATCTCACTGTCATTTACTCCACTTCCTTCACAAAGTTCTTGGGAATCCTTGACTTCTCAGGCTTCTTTCAGCTATGCTATCTGTTACTGGGCCTCTATACTGAGCAGTTCTGTGTGCCACTCCTGTGCTTCTCTCCAGCTAGCCTCTCTGAATTGATCCTAGTAATGGTTCACACTCAGGTGTTCAATGATTGACAAAAGCTTGTCTTCCTCTCCAACCCCGCACTCCCTGGGGTGATTTCGATTTTTTTTTTTTTTTTTGAGGCAGAGTTTCGCTCTTGGCGTCCAGACTAGAGTACAATGGTGC